ATGACAAAAGCTATTGACTGAAAGGCTAGATAACTGATAAGAAGGATACCCCTAGAGATATGCCTGAAAACTCTGCCATCTCATCTTTACAATTCAGCCATGATTTGTTTAATGGAAGGCTCAGCTACTCTACTTTCAAAGGAGCAGGGAAAAAGGAAAGTCCTGACTAGTACAATATATTTAGGATCATCATTCAGTCCACTGATGGGACTGAGTAAGAGGGAGATCTGTGTATATAGCCTTGAGTCCCTGAATGAAAAGTGAATTAAATTAAGTACATAAACACATCTACTGGCTCCTACACTAGGACTTCTTGGGGACATGGTGGCCTAATGGTTAAGATGCTGGACTTGTCAACCGGAAGATCAGCAGTTCGAGAACCATGTACTGCATATACGGTGAGCTTCCATTCTTGCTCTAGCTCCTGCCAACCTAGCAGTTCAAAAGCTTGCAAATGAAAGTAGATAAACAGGTACCACTACAGTGGGAAGGTAACAGTGCCTCGGCATATAGTCATGCTGGCCACATGACACAGAAGCATCTTCAGCTGGCTCTCTCAGCTAAGAAATGGAGATGAGCATTGCCCCTTAGTGTTGGACATGAGTGGGCAGGGGAAACTTTTACCCTTTTACACTAAGGACTGCATAGTCCTTCCTGCCCAATTCAAGATCGCCTCCTAGGCCAGCCAAGTTCTTCTTTAGTTGCCAGAATGTTTTATTTTATTTATTTATTTATTTTATGAGACTTATATACCGCTTTAAGTGGAAGCACTCTCTAAGCGGTGTACACCAGTAAGCAATGTATATATATATTTACATTGCCCCCAACAATCTGGGTCCTCATTTTACCTACCTCGGAAGGATGGAAGGCTGAGTCAACCTTGAGCCGGTGAGATTTGAACTGCTGACCTGCTGAACACAGTCAGCTAAAGTGGCATGTAGTACTGCACTCTAACTTCTGCGCCACCAACATGCTCATCATAATCTATATTTTTGTATCCCCTCTCAAATTCTTTTAATGTCTGAAGAAATGTAGATATACCATCCTTAAGATAGATTTTTTTAAAAAATGCTCAAAGATACCCTTCTCAATCATGATGATAGATGTGAGGCTTAACTGAGCTCCCAGCACTAAGTAACACTAGAAGAGCTCAGACCAGAGATTAAATCCTATTATTACAATCCTGGGACTGACTTTCTTCAAAGATTCCTTCCAGCTTCTGCCTACTTTTGCCATAAACCCATATGTCCAAAAGATATTCTAATGAATGTCTGTAGGAAACCTCTCTTTGTAGACAATTTTGCAGATCAACAAAAGATTAGTGCATCATACAATGAGATATTGGCAAAGAAGCACCAAATTCTCAAATGAGGGAGTTCACAAATTAGGAATCACTACCCACAGGATGGTTTCAAAACATTTTAAAACCTAATCTGGTTTGCAAGGATAAAACAGGAGCAGAGTCACTTTGGATAGTGAGAAGAGCAGCATATACATTTAATAAATAAATACTAAATAAATAAGTAAATAAAAGATGTCAAAACTCTATCAGGCTTTGTCCCTTGCTTGGCCTGTACAAGCTTGCAGTAGCAACTATAGTACCACAAATTACAAAATCTCCAGATTAAAATTTAATTATTAAAATAGTATATTTATTTCTTGCACGACCACTGACTGCCTGATTGATTGATTATTGATTGATTGATTGATTGATTGATTGCTACAAAACTCCATGTAGCATTTGAAGGAATCGTGGTATTCACTGGGGTACCTTTTGTGTGGTGCTATCCAAACTTGTTTAAATGCAAAGCCACTGAAGAATAAATATATTTGGGGGTTTTTTGTACACATTTAGAGTGAAGCAGAGAGACTTTTTTTTTTTTTTTTTTTTTTGAGAAAAAGGATTGCATTTCACTCTAAAAGCAGGTTTAGAAGCCCTGGAGAAACACCCTGTGTTTCTGTTCTTTGGCAGCTTGTTTTCAAACAAGCTGTCTCTTTCCAAATTCTTAAGTGGTTTCAAAGGGTGTTTTAACGTTGCCAGTAAGGCCCTTTCTCCTTGCTCTGGCTGCATACAGATGGTGCACAAGAATGTCTTTGACAATATTTTAAAGCCACTGTGAATAGCCATTCTTGTGACATGAATAAAGCAATGGCTTGTTTGCTGAACAGCTGAAGCTGCAGTGTTCTTTGCGGGGCCAAGAGGAGAGGAGAGGGGGGGAAACAGAGAAGAAAAGACTACCATTAGGTAAATGGCAAGTCCACTCCCACTGTCTGGAAGTGACATCACCTCCTTTGAAACGGTGCCCTAGAAATTGGGTTTTCGGGGAAAGAGCACCCCACCAAATGGTAGACACGTTAGTGTTACAGAATGATTAGTGTTTAATCCCCCAAAGAAGCACAGTCGTTACAGCAAGATGGAGAAGTGAATGGTAGAACATTTATTGCACAGCTTGCAAGGAAATGGATTGAAAGCTTTGTCTGGGTTTTATCTAGCCTGAGTTTTAATGCCACTGAGAACAGTATGAAGGGAAATAGGGAGGGGGGGTGGTAGAAAGCGAGAGGGCTGTGAAAAGAGAATGTGAGAGAGGTAGAAGAAAAAGAAATAAAGAAAAGTAGAGAGGCAGAGGTGCCCAAGAGAATAACATTTAGGGATTTAAAAAAAAAAAAAAACACTCTGGGATGCCAAAAACAACAGACTATTGATTTTTTTTTAACCTGTGTGCATGAGAATATTCTCATCATGAGCTGCCAAAAATAAAATCTAAGCAGTGAAAAAGTGAATGATTAATCATAACTGATAATTAAAAATAAAAGAATGTTTGTAATACTTTAAAGCAGTGGTTCTCAACCTTTTTAATGTCGCGACCCCCAACCGGTCATAAGTCGAGGACTACTCAACCGGTCATAAGTCGAGGACTACTCAACTGGTACAGCACCGTTTGCAGAATGGGACTTTTGGCGGGCTCAGCAGGGCAGAGACAGCCTGGACAATTCCTATTGGCTTTTGAAAGCCAATAGAATTAGACTCTATTCAAGAGAGTCTATTCTATTGGCTTTCAAAAGCCAATAGAATAAAAGGGAGTAGCACAGCTAAGGAAAAGGGGAAAAAACGGCGGACTGCATTATTTGCCGACCCCTGTGAAATGATCGTTCGATCCCAAATAGGGTCCCGACCCACAGGTTGAGAACCACTGCTTTAAAGGAACGGCCTATGCCACAGATCCTTCTGAAGATGTTTTGCAGAGAAACATTAAGCTGGTAGATTGGGATATGTATGCAAGCTGTTTTGTTGGTCATCAAGGCAAGAAAGAACAGGGTTCAAACTGTTACTGAACATTTAGTCCAATGTAGGGAAGAATGGAGCCCAATTTGGCCAATATGCAACAACATTGGCCTTCCTTTCCCCTTATTCTCCCCTTTAGGAGAGGGCATGCTTGACATTTGAAAAGGATGGCAACCCGGCTCTATTCACCAAGACTCACAAAATTCTAGATAATTGAAAGACAGATTGAAGGGTACATAGACTAGGGCCATTCAAAGAACTGATGAATTATCTTCCCTGAAAGTATTCACAGACCACTTCTATGTTGTATTGGCTAAGATCATAGATCCCACAAGACATTCCTTCCTGTTCTGAAATTAAAACATATAGTCAGGTTAAGATGAAATGCTTGAAAAAAAATGTCTGTTTCACTGTTCGGGAGCCAGCTTCTCAGATACAGCTAAACGGTTCTAGCAAAGATGCGATCCACCCAAATCATCTTTGTATCCTTTCAGAGTCCTGATGGGACAAAATGTAGACCTTAAAAAAATATTTGAGGGGTTCAAGGCATTTTAACTGAACCATTATCCTTGCAGATATTTGAGGAAACCACTTTAATTCTTTAAAATTCCTGAAACCTGCACTCTAACTGAGGCTTCTTCCAAGACTTTGCCCTCTTTGGCTCTGGGTGGTGTTGCGTTACACCAAAGAGAACCAGTGTACAATCTGGGGGTCCTCCTGCTTAACGAGCAGGTGGCAGTTGTGGCTAGAAGAGCCTTTGCACATCCTCATCCGGTGCACCAGCTGTGTCTGTTCCTGAATTGGCAAGTCCTATTTTCAGTCATTTATGCCCTGGTCACCTCCAAATTGAACTACTACAATGCGCTGTGCTTGGGGCTGCTTTTGACAAGTATTTGGAAGTTTCAGCTAGTACAGAATAAGTGGTGCAGGCAGTTATATGCACTCCTAGAGTAGTGCATATTGCACCCTTGCACTGCGAGCAGTCTAACTCCTACATTTTGCATTAAATGTAACTTCTGGACACTTACCATGGGTCATTAGCCAGAGTTAAGGCATAGTAAAGAGAACAATATTTAGGTAAAGCCTGTAAAGTGTACTTGATACAATTTATATTGAAACTGTCTTTCGGTTCAGCCTTTAGATATGTGGATATTAACTCTCCAAATTTTACAGTCACTATTAGCATTGCAAAAAAAGAAGAAATAAATTCCACATATTTAGATAGGAGAAGGCTTTCAAACTCATACAGGCTTATTTTTGAAGATGCCACAAATGGAATTAGTTTTGTACTTCAGACGTATCACAATATGGTAAAGCTATTACACTAGGGTTATATCATAATGCTTTAGAATAATTAAAGAAAATTGTGGAAAGGGATATGTGATATAAGAGAAGACTATATCTATTCAAGCAAACTGTACAATTCCACCATTCAAATCATTTTTGTTCACCTCTTTAGCATAAATGTCTGACTGCATATAAATATGTAGTGATTTCACATTCATCAAAATATCCGCAACTATTGTAAAAATATTGGACAATTTTCAATTTTTTCTTGGTCATTTTCACTGTTTTTTCTGTATTTTTTTTTTTTTATTTCTGCAAGACTCTGCAATGCCCTTTTAATCAGGGACCTCTCCTCTTTTAATCTGTAATAGTTCATATTTAAAACAAACAAACATATCAAACACCCAGAATTATATATAAAGGGACTTACCTTTAAAGATTCCCATACAGGAAACTGGACAAGAGAGAAAGGAATCTGTAGTTCAAGAAAGAAAAAGAAAAATGAGATGCATATTAAGTTGGATACAGTTAGTTAACTAAATTAGGAAAAAATATTCGCTCAGTGGAACTGTGGGTTCTTAAAATGATAAATGTCAGAGTATTATATTATTCACGAGGCTGAACCTTTGACTTATTGTCAAGTATTATAGCCAGGGTGGGCTCCGATAGTCAGAACTGGCACTACCAAGTATGGTGAACTTTAAGGACTTAAAGCCTGGAAAAATAATACAGAGAATAGCCTAGAAGGTACACGCAGAAACCTATTGCCAAAGAGCTGCCTGCTCAGCTTTGCAGCTCAGTAGAGACATTTAACTGAAGACTCAGCTATTTACACAAGGAAGCTCAGTTCAATACTGACCATTAGAAACAGAGCTCTCTAACTCGCCAATCCCTTGGGAAATCAAACTATCAATGCAAGTAACCATATCTCCAAAGGGTTGCCATCTAGCCTTTGCAAACAGTCCTATGCTGAAAAAAGCCTAAACACTGCTGTTCTACTTGTTTTCAACACAAATGAATAAATATTTAGACCAAGAGACTGGTTGTAACCATTTTTGGCTAACAAGACATATCAAACAGAAAGCCAGAACTTTGAAGGCCGTTCTTGTTAGGATACCTTAAGGCAGAAGTCCCCAACCGGTTACGTGGAGAGAGGTTTTTCCGCGGACCAGAGGGGGCATGGTTTTGTGTACTGCCTGCATCCTGCAGATGGGTTTTTGCTTGTTTGTACGGACCGGTTGCTGGACCCCTGCCTTAAGACACACAAACAGATTTCCTCTCCACACATATATATGCTGATCTAAGGGGAAAAGACTGGCCATGAAGCTATTCTTCCCAACTAAAGGGAGGTTTTGCTCTGTCCTTAATACAAAAATGCAAGGAATAATTTTAATTTATTTTTATGTAATGTATTCATATATTTATACTCCGCTTTTATTATTTTCACAAATAACTCAAGATGGCGAACATATCCAGCACACCTTCCTCCTCCTATTATCCGCACAGCAACAACCCTGTGATGTGATTTGGACTGAGAGAGGGGGACTGCTCAAGGTCATCCAGATGGCTTTCATAGCTAAGGAGGGACTTGAACTCACTGCCTCTTGCTTTTTAGCCTTGTACTTTAACCACTAGACCACTTAACCGATAGACAAGTCCTGAAATTTCTCCAATGAGCACTCATACAGTCGTTATAGTTACAGCAAATACACAGTCATTTAGTCCCTTTTGCTAGAGTTAAAGACATATGATAATCCTCGGCAGTCCACTCACTAGCTGGGACGCCAAGAGATAAAGGACAGCTAGTTTCCAGAAACAACAAGCTACTACAAGCCCAAGTTATGTGATGAATTCTCATTTCTAATCCTAAAAATTCATCATGAATGTGGTCTGAACCCTGAGAAGGTGTAGGTCAGGGGTAGGCAACCCAAAACATTCAAAGAGCCACTTGGACCGGTTTCCCACCAAAAACAAAACACTGGGAGCCGCAAAACCCTTTTGATATCTAAAATGAAGATAACACTGCATATATCCTTTTTTACCTTTATTATAGGTGTGTGTGTGTTTGTGTGTGTGTGTGTGTGTGTGTGTGTGTGTGTATATGTATATGTATATGTATATGTATATATGTATATGTAGGTCTTTGGTTGTTCGGGTTTTCTCCCGCGTAAAATTGGAAGTGTCTTGGCGACGTTTGACGAAGTCCCATTCGTCATCTTCAGGCTGGTGTTTTCAGCTTCGTGCTTTGAGCAGCAATGTGTGGTCTTAGCTGTTTCTTCCTTTTAACTATTCATACTATTAAAACAATGATCACCAAGAGAATGCTTTAAGAGAATAAAATTACATACACACACAGGTAAAAAAAGGATATATGCAGTGTTATCTTCATTTTAGATGTCAAAAGGGTCTCTCTCTCTCTGTCTCTCTCCCTCCCTCTCTATCTGCCCTTGGTCTGCCACTCCTCTTCCCCCACTCTTTCTCTCTCTCTCTCTCTCCTCCTCTCTCTCTCTCTTTCTCCCCCCCCCCTCCTATCTGCTGCTCACCTGGAAAGCTTCAAGCTGTTGTCCAACAACAACCTCGTCTCTTTTATGACTCATGGACTTCAACTCCCAGAATTCCTGAGTCAGCCTAGCTGGGCTAGCTAGCTCTCTCCTGCCCTTCCTGCTTCCTGCTTCCTGCAGAGACGCAGCAAAGGGAGGAGCTCCGCCCAGTAAGCTTTTCAGCTCCTCGGAGAACACTGTGAGTGCATTCTCTTTTACACACACACACACACACACACACACACACACACACACAAAACATCACACACACACACACACACACACACACACAGACACACACACACACACACAGAGAGAGAGAGAGAGAGAGAGAGAGAGAGAGAGAGAGAAAGAGAGAGAGAGAGAGAGAGAGAGAGAGAAGCAGGGAAGCGCAATTGCCTCTCTCTGTCTCTGTCTGCAAAGGCAGAGGCGGCTGGGAACCGCAGGGGAAGGCTCAAAGAGCCGCATGCGGCTCCGGAGCCGCAGGTTGCCGACCTGTGGTGTAGGTAGTCCTCAATTTACAAGAATTTGTTTAGCAACTGTTTAAAGGCACTGGAAAAAAAAGTAACTTACTACTAGTCCTCGCACTTATAATCATCACAGCATCCCTACAGTCACATGATCAAAATTGAGGCACTTAGCAACAAGCATGTATTTATGACAGTTGCAGCATCCTGGGCTCATCTGATTGCCTTTTACAACCTTTCCCAGTCGCCTTCTAACAATAGGGGAAGCTAGATTCATTTAAGAACCACACAATTCACTTAACAACTGCAGTGATTCGCTTATCAATCATTGTCAAAAAGATCATTAAATCAGGTCTGTTTCACTTAACAATGCCTTGCTTAACAATAGAAATTCTGGTCCCAGTTGTAGTCATAAGTCGAGGACTACCTGAATCTTTTTTAATCACATGTTGATCTATTGAAATTCCTTTAAGAGAAACACTCTTTCTTTCTGAAACACATCCTTTCCTACCCTTCACTACTTCCTGACTTTCTTAACGTTCAAGTTTCTGGTATCCACTGAATGAAAGCAACAAAACAACCGTAACAGTAAAGAAAATAGCAAAGCAGCACAGAATCCATTAGCAGATATATGGATCTAACACAACTACTAATAGGTACTGTAACTGCAAGATTTTTTGATAGGAAAAACTGATCGTGAGAATCCATTTTTAAGTCTGTAACGCTAAACTGGGATGCCAGTTTTACCATGTAGCCGAACTTTTCATCTCTGAAATTTTGGTGGAATATATCAGATCCTTTCAGATTTTATTTATGAATGTTTTTTCACAAGAAGCTGCATGTTCAACAAAAATGTCAATCTTGAGAGACAATTGTGTATTTATTATATGTATGTGGCTACAAACAGGAAATCTACTTACCATGTTTCCCTGAAAATAAGACCGGGTCTTATATTAATTTTTGCTCCAAAAGACACACTAGGGCTTATTTTCCAGTTAGGTCAGTGGTGGCAAACTTATGGCACGGGTGCCAGAGGCGGCACTCAGAGCCCTCTCTGTGGGCACATGTGCTGTTACTCTAGGTTTGCCTCCACCTGCGACCCCCTCCTCACCAGCAGCTCCCCTGAGCGTGGCCCACGCAAAGCAGCACAGCCAAGGACATGGCAGCCTGGCAGCGTAGACAAGACTCTGCCCTCATGCTCAAACATGCACAGTTGATGCTGCAGGGCGCGGGCAGAGGGTGTGGCCGCCATGGGGTTGCTGGGCTGCCTGGGTGATCTGTGGCAGGCCCTGGAGGCAATGAGTGGCCCTGAGGGCAGGCAGGGTGGGGCGAAGCGGGGGCAGGGCAGGGGGTGGAACAGGGGTGGGGCAGGGGGTGGAGCAGGGGTGGGACCAGTTTTGGGGCACTCGGTCTCTAAAAGGTTCGCCATCACTGAGTTAGGTCTTATTTTCGGGAAAATACAGAACTAAATGTGTCTGTCTGTCTGATGATCTTAACTGGGGCTTATTTGGGGAGTAGGGCTTATATTATGAGGGTCTGGAAAAATCATGCTAAGGCTTATTGTCCAGTTGGGTCTTATTTTCGAGGAAACACGGTACATCAGTCTGAATTCAACAAGCATGCTTAATTTTACAATGCAATAACCCGAGGTGGCGCAGCAGTTAGAGTGCAGTACTGCAGGCCACTTTAGCTGACTGTGTTCAGCAGGTCAGCGGTTCAAATCTCACCGGCTCAAGGTTGACTCAGCCTTCCATCCTTCCGGGGTAGGTAAAATGAGGACCCAGATTGTTGGGGGCAATGTAAATATATATATACATTGCTTACTGGTGTACACCGCTTAGAGAGTGCTTCCACTTAAAGCGGTATATAAGTCTCATAAATAAATAAATAAATAAATTGTCAATGTACTGTAGTGTATTCACAGCTTTTCATGTTATTTGAACATGTCTACAAACTGTTTTTACAAAAGCTATATTACTTAAAAGCTACAATTTTTCAAATGTAAAATATTATTATAGGATGATTGTCAACCTCAGCTTATGTCACAACTAGCTATCCTATGAAATCTATACAGGCATATATTGGGGAAGACTGAAGATGAGAATGAAGTAAGCTATTCATAATGACATGTAATTTAATGTAATACTAAAATATGTTCGAGAATTCTGAGACAAATTGTTTACCCTTTAAAATTACGAAGATGACATATATTTGAACAAAACAGCAGAGAACCAGATGTAACCATTTAACATTAATCTAATATATTCACTCAAAAAAAACCCTTCACCATTTGTTATCTGTTCACATCACCATCTGTCTCCTTCTCAGTTTCAATTTCCAAAAATGGAAACTCAGCATAATACAATCCATGTGCATTGCAATTTTAATACTTCCCTGTTTAAAAAGTTGAGGAAATGGGCATTTCTGCTATACTATTTTCACAAGTTATTAATGTTGTGGGGCGCATT